CCACCTGCTCTCCCCTGTGTTCCACAGATGGGCTACTTTCCACACCCCCTTACCGATCCATCTCTTCCAATGTTTTCCTTTGGCATTTAATTGCCAGGGCCTGTCCTTATGGTCCTTCAAACTGGGGTTTCCGAATAATGGCTGTCTTAAGACCTCCTCCTTGGTTTTCGGTGTTCTGATTTTTTGCGGAAAGCATGTTCTCCAGTGTTTGATTAGCGTTGTCCAGTGTTCGCTTGGTGGGTCTTTGTCCTCCATCTCTCTTCCCCCCTCTCCCCTCCTTGGGTACCAAGTTGTGTTTAAAATCCAATGGTATCCCTCTATGGTCGGGTCAACTTGGAACGGTACTAAATTTCGGATTTGGTGTAAGGCCATTTGGTGCCATGGCAATTCCTTATTAAAAAGTAGTTTAATGATCCACTTGTGCTGAAGTGCCTGGAATTGCGCTACCGGATTTAAAACACCCAGTCCCCCCTGTTGTTTTGGACGAGTGACGTATTTCCATGCTACCTTGCTAATGTAGTGTTCTTTTTCCACTTTACCCGTCCATAGGTAAGCTCCTAATTTCTTTTTGAGATTTGTGAAAAAGCTTGCTGGCGGGTTCCACAACGAAGCAACGTACCATCCCATTGAGAGGATTGAGGTATTGATTACTAACACTCTTCCCATTAGGGAAACATAAGTTTCCTGCCACCCAGCTAGCTTGGTCATCATCTTGATTAGCAGACTAGCCCCTGACTCATTGTTCGTCCCTTCCATTGAGACTTGAATGCCCAGAAAACGTAACGGTTGTTTGGGGTCCAACCAAGTGAGGCCTTGTGTGTCTGCCGTTTGCTGGGGGGGATTAGACTGAGCTGACCACCATCCTATCGTTTTCCTCCAGTTTATCTTCATTTCTGACGCGAGTTGAAACGCCTGCATGGCCTTGGTTAGAGCTAAAAAGGACGAGTCAGAGGCTCTAATTAGAACCGTCAAGTCATCGGCGAAAGGAATGGTTGTCGGGATGTGTACTTGTTTCTCTCCATACTGCACTCCCAGTCTTTCAATAGATGGATCCTTACGCAGGAATGCTGCTATTGCCTCCATTACGAAGAGAAAAATAGGTGCTGCTAACGGGTCGCCTTGCCTTACCGATCTGGTCATCTTATACCTCTCAGATAGGTGTNCTGCTATTGCCTCCATTACGAAGAGAAAAATAGGTGCTGCTAACGGGTCGCCTTGCCTTACCGATCTGGTCATCTTATACCTCTCAGATAGGTGTCCATTGACCTGCACCATACCTCGGGCATCCCCGTAGAGCACGCTTATCCATCTCCTGAAATTTGGCCCGACTTTAGGTATCTTGGTTCAGTGACCGATTCACTTTTAGGCTTTGGGACTGCTACTTGCCGAGGTTGACAAATATAATAGATTTTCAGCATAGGCTCTGTGCCCAGCACTTCACCAGTCCAATGGCTATGCGATAGGATGATGCAACCAGCTTAGCAAATTATTCTCCCATAGAACCATCCAAGCGTGGTGGGACTTCCTCCAAAAGATAGCTTTGCGCTGATAATAGCAACAATCCCTGCACTATTCCTTTCATGCCATGCTGGTCGCTTTGCTGCCCCAATGTCGCACAGATAATATGTGGTGGAAAAAGTTCCTTACACCTGTGCTGCCTGTGGGGAATTCTTAGAGGCAGGGAGGATGGTGTGCAAGAGTAGTAGTGGGGTTTACGGACCTTAGTCATGTGGATTATATTGAGCCTCGAAAGCAGCAAAAGGTGTCTCAGGTTAGTGGTGTGGCCCGTGATGGAGAGGTTTGGCTGACTCTGTCATTTGGACACCGGTTGCTGGCCATCAATCATTTACTATATGAGATCCAGCGATTCGGATAACATTATTATCATAATAGTAATGTTTTGATGCTAGTTCTACTCATTTTTTTGAAGCGCCGGAAGTGGTCATATATGTGATGATGAGGATTTGAGTTTCCGATCCGTTCATCTCTCTCCTGTGATCTTCCTCTGTTTATAAAGCTGTACAATCCATCATTTTTTGTAGAATCTTTGTTACGCGGTGATGAACGTGCATAAAGGCAAATGATTTTGAATATGTATACGAAGTTAAAGCGGTTATTTGCTGACACGCATTTGTTCAATGTTGCTCATCAGAGATGAGATAAATGGACATGCTTTGGGGCATCTGTTGAAATTGGAACAGTATACAGAATATTAGCATGTATCCTGCACAAGGATGACATCATGACACACAAAACTTGAGAAAAACTTCAAAAAAGAAGAAAGTATGGGAGGGGTGCTGTTTACTGACAAGGAGAATGAAATGATTTTGTGTGTGTGGTGGTGGTGTTGGGGGTTGGGGGGTAGGGGAGGGATTTTGTGCTTGCTGGCTTTGCTGCTGCTTCTAGCAAGAGTGGTCTTTGAATGTGTTGAACTGGAGGGATATGGCCCTTTCCTAGCACCTGTGCAGTACAACCTAGCGAAAAGGGGAATACGGGTCATCTCAGGACGAAATGAGGACAGCGTGGGTTCTGACAGTAATGGCGCAGGGAAGACAACACTAGTCATGGCACCACTTTGGGCGCTTACAGGTGAGGGCGGAAGGGTTTGTCAACAATTTGCAGATGAAAGGGGGCGGGGTTGAGGGCGGGGGGGGGGGGGGGGGGGGGGGGGTGAGGGGAAAAGCGTGAAAAAGGGAGGGGAGGGAGAGGGCAACTGAGCATCGCGCAGACAGACTTTGGGTGGTGGGCGGGAGGGAGAATGGAGGATGGAGACAGATGGATTAAATAGGTTAGATGGATTATATAAGATCAGATAGACACACTAAATAGGTAAGATCGATTACAGAAATAAGAGACTGGAATCATTGGATAGATGATAGAATAGACAGAGATGATAATTGGATGGATAGATAGATACATTAATTAGAGGTAAAGATCGACTAGATAGATAAGATATGAGATATGTAAGAATCAATAAGATAGATTAGATAGATTTGATGATTGGATAGATAAAAAAGATTAATTAGATAGATGTACAGATGGATAGATAGATGGATAGAGCAATAGATGAATGGATAGATAGATAGATATAAGGTAAGAAGATAAGGTAAAGATAAAGATTAAGATAAGATAAGATAAGATAAGATAAGATGGATGGATGGGGATGGAATGACAGGGACGGGAATGCGATGAAGATGAAATGATGGGAAGGGATGGGGACGGGAATGGGATGGGGATGATGGATGGGAACTGGATTATGGATGGGAATGGGATGATGCGTGGGGATGGGATGGTGGATGGGGATGGGATGATGGATGGCGATGCCATGATGGATTGGGATGGGATGATGGATGGGGCTGGAGGGATGGATGGGATGGATGGGATGGGAGGGATGGATGTGATGTGATTGAATGGAATGGATGGGATGGAATGGAATGGACGGTATGGAATGTAATGGATAGGATGGAATGGATAGAATGGATGGAATGATAGATTGGATAGATAGGTGGAGAACCGGACAGGCAGAGATAGGTAAATGGGCGGAGAGGGGGACGCAGACAGGCAAGGGGGCAGGCAGGCAAGCAGATAGTTAGATAGTTAGATAGGCAGAGAGGTAGAGAGGTAGATAGATTGACGGAATGGAATAAATGAAATGGAATGCACTGGATGGGATGGATGCGATGGATGGAATGGATGGAATGGATGACATGGATGGCATGGATGGAGTGACAGATTAGAACATGAATAGACAGGCAGATATGGGGACAGGCGGAGAGGAAGACAGGCGGAGATAGATTGATAGGCGGAGAGGGGAACATGCGGAGAGGCGGACAGGCAGAGATCGATAGGTGGAGAGTGGGACAGGCGGAGAGGGGGGCAGGCAGGCAGGGGGGCAGGCAGGGAGGCAGATAGGTAGATAGGGAGGGAGGGAGAGGGAG